GCTGATCCCCCTCCTTTTACAGGTGTAGATCATTGTGACATGATCTGGGCTACAGTAAATGCTTTGAAAATTGATTGTTTTGTATTAAGAGCAGAGTTTGACTAACACTGTTTGTTATTTAACTCCTTAGTTACTTTAGTTAAAGTTAGAAGAACTTGTAGGGTTGCCAGATACTTTAAAAAAAAATGAACATGGCAGGGAAAAAAATTGGTTGAGCGCAAAAAAAAAAAAAAAAAAAGGTTACTGCACCCTTTAAATCTCTGCCGGGGGAAGAATGTGCCCACCAGCCTACCATCCGAGAAAAACAGAAAATACCAGACATTTTACATGTCCAGTATTTTTGGGTATTTTTTTTACCGGACAAATTCCACAAATACCAGACGAAAACCAGATACCTGCCAACCTTAGGAACTTGGGTGAAGCAAAAAACAGGACTATGTAGCACTTTAAAGACTAACAAGATGGTTTATTAGGTGATGAGCTTTTGTGGGCCAGACCCACTTCCTCAGATCAAATAGTGGAAGAAAATTGGCACAACCATATATACCAAAGGATACAATAAAAAAAATGAACACATATGAAAAGGACAAATCAAATTTCAGAACAGAGGGGGGATGAGAGGGGGGAAGGTAAATGTCTATGAGCTAATGATATTAGAGATGATAATTGGGGAAACTATCTTTGTAATGGGTAAGGTAATTAGATTCTTTATTCAAACTCAGGCGTAAAGTGTCGAATTTAAGCATGAATGACAGTTCAGAGGATTCTCTTTCAAGTCTGGTATTAAAAGGTCTTTGAAGCAGGATGCAGGTAATCAAGTGGTTGAGACAATGCCCTTTCTGGTTGAAATGGCAATAAACTGTTTTTTCTTTGTGATCCTGTCTAATATCTGTTTTGTGGACATTGATTCTTTGGTGAAGTGTCTGAGACGTTTTTCCAATGTACATAGCAGACGGACACTTTCGGCACATGATAGCATAGATTATATTTCTGGATGTGCAGGAATATGTGTTCTTGATCTTATAACTCAATTGGTTAGGAACTTGGGGTTCTCTTACCTCAGGTGAGGGAGGTGTTCAGCAGCACCTCCATCAGAAGGTGAGGAATGCGGTAAAAGGTGATTAGCCCAAACCTATTAATATGTTCTTCTTATTTAAAAACAATTCTTAGGCACACAGCTGACTGTGCAAATCTTATTAATTTAAAATGGGATTGTAGCCATTTACTGAAACAGAGGCCGAATTGGGCCCATAGTAAATTATTTTCCCTATTGAAAAGTCTCTTGTATAATGGTTGTGTTTCTTTTTGATCTGATCTTCCATAGTAATAATATTTCATCTAACTATTGCTGAGCTGGAAAGTGTGGGTGGTGAGTGGGCAGTGAGGTGGATGTCAGTGCATCTGTGTTCAAAACAAGTGTATGAGATGCATCAAACTTTCATTTTCAGTGTATTGTTTTCAAAGCTGACACACTGTTATTCCTTGGTATATATGTAGTTCTATCTAAAATGCTATTCGGATCAGTAGTGTTCTGCAAGCCAAAAATCTACTCTGTCTTATAGATACAGTATACTAATAAAACCCACCAAGCACTGTGTATTTGGAGCAGTAAGTTTTCAGAGTTAATAACGGTTGTGCTTTGTTATTTATTAAATTTATGAATAACAAAATATGGAAGTCAACGTAGCTGCCAAAGAGTTAAATTTTCAAAAAGTTAAAATTAATTAAAACCATGCAACTGAAACCCTGTTCACACCTTCAAATTTTAGCTCTAAAAAGCAGCAGCAAATGTCAGATTTTAAGTGAAGCTACGTCTTCTTTATAAATTCAATTTCAGCAACTACAAAATATGGAGTTATATTTAAGATAATTGAATCATTTTAATAGGAAATACTTAGTTTTCAGGCTTACATGCCAAACTTCAACACAGTGTAATTTCTAAATTCTTGAAAGCAACAGTTTCATAACACAAATGGTAATTATTTTTACTACAGCTAATATGCTAGCAAGTACTGCTCATATAAAAACCTATTATAAACACTTCAGCTTTTAATGCAAGGACATTTCTTAAAATATTTTAAATGATAGTATTTTATTTTATAGATTCATAACTTTAAAAGTACAAGTTTTGCCAGTCAAAGTAATACTAGATATCAAAAAAAGAAACAGATGGCTTTTGGTCTTGCACTCTACTTTCCTTGTCAATTCTCACAAGATCATTATAATTGAATGGAAAGGATAATATGTTTCTTCCATAACTACAAGAACCTCTCACCGAATCAGAAAAGACATCACTATCTTCAGCAAATAGAAGTTTTCAATAGTAATCAAGAAAGTAAGAGAATAAATAGAGAGGAATTGTGTATGCAGACACTGAATCGGGTCCATGCTGTTGTTAAGGAATTAAGACTGCCAGACATTGTACATGCATAATTCCTTTCTAGGTTTCTAGGGCTATGTCTACACTACAGAGTTTTTGCGGAAAAATGGCCATTTTCCTGCAAAAACTCGCAGAGTGTCCACACCTCAAGTGCATTTTTGAGCAAGTAAATCGAACGATCAGAGGGGTTTTTGCACAATTGGTAATCCTCATTCTATGAGTAAGAACGCCTTTTTCCACAAGAAAAGGGAAGAGGAAAAAGCACAAGTGGCTATTCTGTACATAGCAATCACTGCTTACTTGCGAGAGAGCATCCAAGCAGTTTAGACCAGTGTTTCTTAAACTGTGTTCCGTGGCACACCAGTGTGCTGTGAGGGAGTTGGAGGTGTGCCACGGAGAAGAACAGAGTTCAAAATGGCCACCCTTAAAGGGACAGGCGACTTTTTTCCCCCCCTCAATAACTTTCCCCCAACCATATTTTATTTATTTATTTATTGCTCAACAAAAAGTTCTTGGTGTACCTCATAAAAAAAAATTATTGTTTGGTGTTTCTCCGTCTTAAAAAGTTTAAGAAACACTGGTCTAGACACTCTTGCAAAAGCACATCGCTTTTTCAATGCGCTTTTGCAGTGTGGATGCACTCTTGCACAAGAAGTTTTTGTGGAAGATCTCTTCCGACAAAAGCTTCTTGCGTAAAAAGCCTGCAGTCTAGACGTAGCATAGGTCTTTCTGAATACCAAAAGGCATTGCACTTCTGTTGTTAATTATTATAATAAGGTAAAAAGACATTAGTACAAATTGCTTGGGAGTGTTTCAGAGAATAACACATTTTAGAGGGCTAGCTTTCCATATTTATTTTCAAGAACTTTCATGTAATTTTGTTGTACATAGGATTAATTGATCCATCTTAATATTAAGGAAAATTAGAATAACAGCAAAAAAAAAAAGAGGGTTACTAGATCTGTTTGCAAAACTCATGCTTACAACTGGAAAATTTGAAAAAGTTACAACTTAATGCACCAGCTCTGACAATCCACAATGTACACCTCATTGTCCCACATTGAACATCTCTAAAAGCTTTATACAATGGAGCTGTGGTCCAGTCCTTAAAAAATTAATTGGACTGGGAGTCAGGAGTTCTGGGATTTTTTCTAGCGCTTCCAGTAACTTGATGTGTGATTTCAGTCAGTCTTATCTTTTCTGTAACTGAGTTTATCTACTTGTATAAAAAGGGGATAACAACTATTAATCTGCCTCAGAGAACAACTATGCAGCATCAATAATAAGCTTTTGGATCAGTGCTAGATAGAAACAACTTCTATTTTATACTGACTTTCCAGTATTAATTGCAGTTTGTTTCATGGACCTCCGCTAGGATTTCAGAGCCCAACCCTGGACCCAGGAGCTCTGCAGACTGCGTGGATTCTGCAGGCACAGAAAATCCTAAGAAGGAAGCACTCTTCTGGGGCACCCATGAATTACTTACATGGCTGCCAAATTCTTTCCTAGATTCCGAAATATGTTCCACATGATTGTCTCATATGTCAGTCAGATGCTGGGAAGCTCATGACCATGCACAATGCCTCTGTGACATCTAGAAGTTCATGGGTTCTTCACTGCCTTTCCTAATCTGGGGGGAAGTTTAGAGGAGCTGTATGGGTCAAATAGTGTCTTTATATCCTAACTACTGAGACAATGAATTTTGTACACTGAGCAAACTTCTACTAGCTTCGAGCATCCCATTGTACAGACAGTTTACACAGTCTGATGGTCTTTTGTGCCCTAGTGATCCGTGACAACTGGGATCAAGATTGGTCTGTTGATTACTACAACAAAATGTATTATTCTGTTATTTTGTGGGAAGATTACTTTTCAATAGTATGTGTGAAAACAGGTTAGTTAGCTGTCTACCCTTGTAACTGAAGGAAAAAGCTGGTGTATTAGTGCTTAGCATTTCCAGCTCATTTGATAGCAAATTTTGATTTTAGGACTATGTTTAAAAGATTTCATGCTTGTATTTTATCATTGATTACGAGGCGGGACAGTCCTCTGTTGGTGTCAACCAGTATAGCTCCATTAACTGAGGCTCTGATTCATGATAAAAGCATACCACAATAAACACAAAGATAAATACAAGATGGAAACTTTATCTATGGTTATTTTGCAATATGCCATTTTTTCTTTTGGCCATATTTTTACAACAAACGTGGTTTCAAGTTTAAAGATTACTTTTTCAAGATAAAGTATTATCAAGAATGTTTAGTATTCGTAACAGAGGGTGTTGTAGTTTATCCCCCATGGCACCTCCATCAAACATTGAGGAAAATGCTACTTTAAGCTCATACCTTTTTAGACCTCTGTAAAACCCAACTTTGAATTTCTTTGCTTTTATTGGCTTAAGTTTCCCCCTTTGCATCATGTCAATGTAGATTTTTTTCTTTTCAATAGTAACATGACCTGTTTTCTCCTTCATGGTATATACCAGCATTCCTTGAAATAGATTGAACTACAAGGCTGCCTTCTTCATACACTTTCGCTCTATGGCTGGCTGAAGGCCACACCATGATTTATAATTAGTTCTGCAAATTCATCACTCATTCTGTGTGTATGTTTTGTCTAGACGGAGGAAGGACAGAAAGTCGCTCAGCCTAAAAGTTCTCAGGAGCTGTCAAAGAAAGAGATCCTTACACGAATACAAGAAGTAGTGACTGCTCGCTTTAACACCATTACACAAGAATTTAAAGATACTGATTGCGAAAAAGTTAATACAGTATCAAAAGAGGACTTCCGGGGTATTTGCAACCGTTACTTTCTGCTTCTGACAGACGGACAAGTAAGAAAAAATATTATTTAAATTTATAACTAATTAAATTGGCATAGGGTTTTGGAGAGTATATATACATGCTAATGCATATATACAAGTAGCCTGATATCTTTGGAGCAAAACAAAAAGGATTGAAGAACATTATTCCATAATGTAATTTTGAGGGATTGCTTTTTCAATATTATCTGAATATGTGTGTAAACTAAAGGTAGGCAGTACATAGTGCATACCTACACTAGGGTGCCAGCACAATAAATTCACATTTCAATTGCAGAAATCCTTAGGCACACTTTTAGACCTATATCATACAGTCCTGATGAGGATTCTCTCTCTCTTTGTTGCATGACCATTCATCTCCGATGTCTCAACTGGATCCTCATGGTTTTGGTTAAATTCGGTTTTCAGATACACAGTGCAGATTACCGCATGTAGCTGAAAGCAGAACTTGGTCTCATGTCCAGTTTTGCCCTAAAACATATGATCACAACTCCTATTAACTTAGTGAAAGTTACATCCTCTTACATGTGAGGAAAACGAGTTCCTCATCTGTTTTCTGATTTTGCATCTGCGGACAATTTTTAGGTCTTTCTGGGTGGCAGACCCTGCAAGCCAGGGTGGAAATCAGATCAGGTTTTCTCTAATGGTCAGATTCTCAGCTGGTGTAAATGGGCATAGCTCCAGTTAATTCATTGGGGCTGTGTCTAGACTGGCAAGTTTTTCCGGAAAATCATCTGCTTTTCCGGAAAAACTTACCAGCTGTCTACACTGGCCGCTTGAATTTCCGGAAAAGCACTGACGATCTCATGTAAAATCATCAGTGATTTTCCAGAAAAACTATGCTGCTCCCGTTTGGGCAAAAGTCTTTTTCCAAAAGACTTTTGCGCAAAAGGGCCAGTGTAGACAGCACAGTACTGTTTTCCGCAAAAAAAGCCCCGATCATGAAAAAGGCGATCGGGGCTTTTTTGCGGAAAACTGCGTCTAGATTGGCCATGGACGCTTTTCCACAAAAAGTGCTTTTGCGGAAAAGCATCCTGCCAATCTAGACGCGCTTTTCTGAAAATGTTTTTAACGGAAAACTTTTCCGTTAAAAGCATTTTCGGAAATTCATGCCAGTGTAGACGTAACCTGGAGGTATATCACCTTACACTAGCTAAGGATCTGGCTGTAAGTGTTTTATTCAAAGGACTTTATTAGGTCTGGGCCGTACACTGGTGCACAAGATGGTGAGAGGATGCAAGAAGTCCTCCACCCTTGTGTGCTGTGCAGTATCTGGATTCAGTAATAGTCTTTACATCCCCCTGAGCCAAGGACTTCTCAAGTCTAATTGTCTGCCGTGCCGACAACTGAAATCCTTGCACTTTTCAAGTTCTTACTAATCACATGTATTGAATAACCGTATTTCTCATTCTTGAAAATGACTCAAGAAAGTCAGATTACTTTTGTAATCTGGCTAGGAGATCAGCTGTCCATAATGCTTCTAGAGGGAACCGTGTCAGCAAATCCATCCATGCTGACTGGCAGTAGTTCCCAAGGAGTCCTTTATTTTCTTTATTGGCGTCTTCATAGTTGTCTTCGGTCGTTTACTTGTATTAATAACTTTACTGTCTGAGGCTACGTTTACACTGCAGTTATTTCGGAATAAACTATTCCAGAATAGTTGTTCTGAAATAGCTTATTTCGAAATAGTACGTCTACACTGCAGGGAAGCCTCATAATTAGTCGGAGGCAGGTTTTCCTAATGTAGGCATGCTATCTCGATTTAGAGCCCCAGGAGGAATAACTTAGAATGGCCCTGGGGAGGGGCTATTTTGAAATAGCAGCAGTGGAGCATCTACACACGCAATAGCTATTTTGAAATAGGCGTTATTTCTCGTAGAATGAGGTTAACAGAAGCTGGAATAAGCTGTCAGTTATTTCGAAATAATTTCAAAATAATGGAATTTCTGTGTAGACGCTCGCATAGTTATTTCGGAATAACAGCCATTATTCCAAAATAACTTTGCTGATTAGACACACCCTTAGGCTGCATCTAGACTGGCACGATTTTGTGCAAATACTTTTAATGGAAAAGTTTTTCCGTTAAAAGTATTTGCACAAGAGAGCGTCTATACTGTCACGATGCTTTTATATAAAAGCATCCGTGCCAGTGTAGATGCTCTCTTGCGCAAGAAAGCTCCGATGGCCATTTTAGTCATCGGGCTTTCTTGCGCAAAAAATCAACTTGTCTGTCTACACTGGCCCTCTTGTGCAAGAATACTTATCCCTGAGCGGGGGCGTCGGAGTATTTGCGCAAGAACCACAGATTTTGTACAGTACAAAGTCAGTGATCTTGCGCAAATATTTGCAGCCAGTCTAGAAGGCAGCAAGATTTTGCGCAAAATCTTGCCAGTCTAAATGCAGCCTTACTGAGCTTTCAGAGGAAGCTTCACCAATTTCAGAAAGCTGGTGACTTTGGCTTCCGTGTATTCAAAGCAGGGGGAAAACTAGAAATCAGGGGAAAAGGCAAACAAAAGTTACACACTAGGAGGGTGTAGTGTGAGGTTTTGCTCTGGATTCGTTTTGGTTGGAGTGCCCTTGGTTCCTCCTCTGAAATTGAGACTGGTGTGCTTTATACTGCTGTTGTGCAGGAGGTACATGCAGTTTTCTGTTCCTTCTTCTTTCAGACTGATTGTGGGCTTTTTTTGTATTGTTGATCTGTCTGTATCCTCCTATTTGTCTCTTGTCTTATACTTCAGATTGTAAACTCTTTGGGACAGGGACTGTCCTTTTGTTCTATGTTTGTTGCTTAGCACAACAGGATCCTGAGCCATGACTGGGGCTCTTAGGCATTATGATAACACAAATAATAAATAAAAACAAAGGCAGGTGTAAGAGTTAGTTGCAGGCAGGTTGCTAAGCAACTAATCTTCTCTCTCAGCAGCTGTTTGGTCTCTCATCCTCCTGGGGCAAAGGAAGTGACAGTGGTTTGGGGCTTCTCTCTAGAAATCTACTCCACTGCTCAGCTATGTTTCTAAAGCTCCCACTGGATCAGCTGCAGCCTCAATGGAGCTTTTTTATGCCCTGACTGCAGCTAGAATTTGGCAAGAATGACTCTGATTAGCCTGCAGTGCTGAGACAATGGAATCCAGCCCTCTCCCCCCCAAGTTCTGTGTCTGTTAAACCCAAAATGGATAGTGCTGCAGCTTCATTGGCTGGAGTTATGGTTATTCTGTCATAATGGGATTGCTGCCCCAAAGGAAGGGTGGATAGAAAAATAGAAGGCGGCTTAAGCAGAGATTTCATATTTTGCTCAGCTGCTGTCCAACCTTCCCTGCTTCACAAGAGTAGCCATGTTGTGATGCAGCAACCTGAAAAATGTGGATCCTCTTAACTATAAAGAATTCATCACTGCTTTCTACAAAATGTCCAACTACTGTACTTTGTTCAGGCCAGATATATCCATGGATTTCCATGTCACAGATAGACTCCAAAATGTGTCTGAGACTGTGGCCCTGTGGCATACATTTGATCTTGTTGATACTCTTGGAGTCTAGTGGGATGATGTAGATGATCGGAACGTTAAAATCAACCTATTTAGGAAGGATTGGGTGGGCAAAATAGGGTTGGGGGAAGAATGGCTTTCTATGTAAATAATGGCATTACCTGTTCCCGAGTTTCTGGTAACTCAGAAGTAGTTGTCCTAACTGCTTACACATCAGAGTCCTACAAATAAAGCAAAAGATGGAGTGTGAGTTTGGTGTCTGCTACAGACCTCCAAATCACAATGAAAAACAGGGTAACTGACTCCTCATGTATTTATCTATAATGTGTGTGGGATGGGGAGGGAAGAAAGCTGAACGATCTTGGGTTACTTCAGTTATATATAATTAATACCAATCAACATGGGTTTTCATAAAACATTCTGTCGACTAACTTGTAATATCAAGTTTAAATGAGGAAAAGTAATAGTTTGAGTGTAATACTTAGCCATCAGTGAGACATTTGGCTCTGTTCGGACACTGTTTTGATTTAAAAAAACTAGAAAGATAGAAAGTTAATATGACTCAGGAGATAAGCCCGAAATATCAACCCCCAGAGGAAAGTCCTGAGAGAAAGCCCAAAACACTTCTTCATTCCAAGTGAAACACTCAACACAACAGCCAAATAATGTTAAGAGGGGAAATGGGGACTACCCAGTATCAAGGTAGGAAGTATCTCACTTTCTCTTTTTAGAGCCAAAAGCCTCCCCTCTTCAGTCCTCGGGGCTGGATTCCATAATCTTTAGACTGAAAAAGAAGTCAAGGAGGAGTGAGAGCCGTTATACAGCTAAAACAGCTCAATAAGCAGATGACAAAACTCTGCCATCCATAGCAGATTTGGGTCTGATTCTAATTTACACACTCTGGAGAATTTCAGGTGTTGGTGGCACCTGAAGCTGATGAAGGCACTCTTCTGTGCCCACGCTTCCAGGCAAGGAATGTGGTTGGCTGCACTATTCAGCCCAATTTCCTGAACGGGGAAGTGAGCTTGCACACTATCTGTGGGGCAAGCCACCACAATGTTTTATATAAAAAACCAGGGGTATACATTCCTCTCCTCTTTCCCAGGAAGCCCTCATGCTGTGGGACTTTTGTATAGCTCATTTGATACACCTGGAAGCATTGACCTTCCCGGAGTACAGAACAAGTTGGCAGGCCATCTCAGCAGGTGATTCCATAGCCACAAGTGAGCCCTGCGCCCAGATGCTGAGAGCTTCATTTTCTGAGAGTGGGGGTTTCCCCAGATAGCTCTGTTTGCCATGCAATGCAGCAGCAAGTGCGAGTGATTTTGCTCCTTCACAGTCCGGACTCCATCACAGCCACATTACTCCTATCCAGAGAGCGCTACCTCTTGTTCATATTCTTGCCCATTCCTCTCATTCACAAGGTGCTCTTCAAAGCGTGGAAGCCTAAAGATCCAGCCTGGGCCCATCAGCACTGGTACTCATCTCTCCTCTTAATGTCCATGGAAACGCCAGTCACCTTGCCACT